ATCTTTTTATCTAAATACTTTTCACACAATATCAGGTATGATATCTCGTAAAATATTCACTTTTCCATGACTTTACCTTAATCTTTTTGTACATAGATTGTCGAGAGAAATCACGATCAGTAATATTAATGATTGCTCACTAAATGCATAAATCAACAGAATGTACTGGAATTTTATTTAAGGTTTCTCTATATTTTTCTCACAACACGATTTCACTCATCACTCTACGTACAAAAATATTAAGGTAAGTTAATTAAAAAGTAAATATTTTATTAAATATTACATATTTCGTATTGACAAATAGCAAAATAAAAAATAAGAAAAATCTTAAAAAGTATTAATTTTTAGATGTTTTATTTCAATACCTTTATACGCGGAATAATCAATAGAACTAATTTGTTTTAGAAAAATCATGTGATTTCATTAAGAAAAAATAATTGACCTTGACAAATCTTTTCAAAGTCTTTCTAAGGTTAAGTGAGGTTATTATCATTTTTATTCCCCATTAAAATAGCTTTTCCTCCTTGCTACAAGTTTTACTTGACATATTTCCTTCTTAGTATCTTATTTTTAAAACATTTGAAGCGTACAATTAAAATAGGATATCCTATATGTTCATAAAAAAGAAGGAATAATGTGAAAATAAAGATTGGAGAAGTAGGAGAATCAATGAATTTTAAATTCAGATAACAATCTCGTTGAATGGATAAGAAAGTCGAAACTTATTTTAAACAATAGAAAAAGTTCAAAGGATTATATTACATAATATTATTTTGGTATGCAAAGAAGGTGCTAAATCGAAGGCGTGAAAAGAAGTCGCAGTGATGCAAGCAAGTTATGCGGATAAAATGACGGGAAAGCAAGAACGTGAGAAGCGAGAGCGATTTTAAGCGGATAGCTTTTATCGATTCGAAAGCATGCGTGAAATGCGGTAACGAATAATCGACATTGGCATATTTCCAACTACCGTTGTAATTCTAATTGGCTCTCCCGAGCAGTTGCAGAATCGGTTCTCACTGACAATATTCGACTTCTGAATATGCTGCGCAATGTTATACGTTGAAAGAGTTCTTGTTTGTCGAGATATAACTACTATATGCGAAACATTACGTGTGTTGTTTTAGCGCAAGCTTGTGCAATAGCACACACGTGCACATCTACGTCTTATCTAGATGTTAATGGCGTGACAGGTATATATATTATTCGCAGCATACTAAAGCGGCGTAATATTTATGCCTGCAGGTATTTTATTACGCACAGTTATGCACATTGCATAACTGTATATGTAAATGATGTAGTTCTCAATGGGACTATCTACATCGCGAATTTCATTGATAGTGTTTCTGATTGCTATTAGGATAGCGTGTTCTATGTAAAAGTTTTGATGTTAATGAATATAAATTTTTAAACACGACATTACATAAACACAATACTATTTGTATGTACTACGGAATAATTAGATATGCATAATATTGCATTTATAATTGCGAAAGTTACCAATGCAGCAATTATGTTTGTTAATATATACAAGCCGATTATTAAATTGATCTTCAGAATATAATAACTTAAAATAACATGTTTCTGAAATTCTTTAAGATATATAATGCTTTATCATATGCACACACACACACACATACAGATATAGAGAAAGAAAGACAGAGAGAGAGAGAGAGAGAGAGAGAGAGAGAGAGAGAGAAAGAGAGGGAGGTTAAATATAGGGGGCGGCAGGCTGTTAATGACTTTCTGAAAAGTCATTCATAGAAGATTAAAATAATTTTTTGTCTCAAAATAATTACATAGGATTACATAAGATTTAGTTTTTGGATTGTTTTTTAAGAAATCAGTTTAAAAAAATTTTAAATTTTTGCATTTCTTTAGGAATAATTATAAAAAAAATGGTGTCAATTTTCAACTTATCCGAAATGTATGGGCAAAATAAAACATAATATAAGAGTCATATAATTGATTAGAATATATGAAACAAATATATATATATATATATATATATATATATATATATTTATGAATATATATCTAATTACAGCAAACAAAAACGAATAACTTTGACATTTTAAAAGACACAAAATTATTTTCTAAAATAAAAATTATAAACTTGTTTAATGTAACGTAGTTAAGTTAAATAATTATTTAACATGACAACTTATACAAGACCTACTAACCTAATTTGTGTCTATATTAAGGATATAAATTAAAAAAGAAAAAAATATATAAGACACTATTCTATAAATAATAATAATACTATAATCATAATATAATATAATAATATCATAATATAATATAATAATATAATTATAAATATAATATTATATAATATAATATTATTAATATATTATTATTATAATATAATAATAATATAATTATAAGTCATAATAATTAAATAAAATTATTAACTTTTCCAAAGATTGTTACTAATACTAACTTTACAAAAGTCATAATTCCCTCATATAATATGATTTGGATTAATTTAATTTAGGGCAAGATTAAACAGATATTTTATTTTGCTCTTTTTCGTCATGTTTTATTTTGCTTACAATGTTGTTTAATTAATAAACAACAAGTTTTCAAATTAAAAACTCATTCCATGTATATTTATTAACAAAGTTGATTGGCATAGTTAATTGTTAAATATTGTTTTGTATAATAAACAAACCATAATATTTACGATTATTATAAGTAGTAAATTATTAGACACAAGTTCAGCAATAATGTACATTACACAATTAAAGTTTGGTTATAAATACAAATATATCAAGAGCCATCAAGTAACATAAAGCTATTAAATAACATACGATAATTACGTTATTGTAGGAGCAAATGTAATTAAGATGTTCCATTTTGCTCGCATGTTCCACTTTACTTATTAGTTTCAAAAAAATAATGATTTATATTAGTTTATTCTTATTAGTCTTTGTTTTCTCTTTTTCCTCGCAAAAAAAGAGTAGCACACCAGCCGCTTTGAAAAATCGTGCTCGTTCCGTACTCGTTATCTTTTTAATAGAGAATTATTTACGGGCGATGATTTGTTTCTTCATCTTACGAGTGAAAGTAAAACAAAGTCAATCGAATGTTTCCAGGTACTATAATTTAACAGTTGAGAGAAGTTAAATAAATGGTCACAATTATGTTTTTACAGCTATGCTTATCTCGCGTGTGGCGATATGTTTATCACATAAAAGATCAAGAACTGAAGAAGGAGAACGAGGCAACCTTTCATTCATTCCTAGAAGCACAATTCACTTTCGAATGTCATGTTGATCAGCTTTCAACAGTCGACGAAATTTCATCTCTTTCTATACACAACTCGAGAACGTTTGTCCAGCGAGCGTTAACATTCTTCTCTTAATAGTACACGTCAAATTTTATGTAAGAGCTTACGGTTGACAAGTGAAGTTAATATGTAATACCTGAAGCATTAAATTGTTCGCTTTGATAATGCGCAATCAGTAATGAAAATAAAAGTTCAGGTCTATATAAATTTAAGAAGCAGAGAGACACACTTACTTGAACGTTAAAATTCACTACATTATGAAACGATCTGGAACATTGAAGTGTTAATGTATCCATTTCGTCTTTCTTACTGTGACTTAAACACGCCTGGTTTTTGCAATTTGCGGCAAACCAGCCAAGCGTCAACGAGCTTCTAGAGATACAAGGTTTATAGAAAAACACTCGCCGTGAAAATAAGTAGAGTAAGCGAATTTACTCTTTTTATGCGACGATCGTTCGGTTAACTGCGCTTTTTATCGATGTTGAGGTGAACCGTAGAGACAAGATTTGTGCGTGTTTCAGAAAGTTACAGCTTTCAGTGGATTTCAATGTATTTCTTGCCAGATGATAAATCTCTCGGAAATGTACCTACATGTACGTACAACTGGATGAGTCTAAATATACCGGAAGACTAAGTTTTGAGAGCCGACATAATCATACCTTTCTCTTTCTCATCTTAAACGCAATTAGTAGCTAGGCAAGTACTAAACTTTATGCTCTGCCGACACGTGTCTCAGCAATACTTAACGAGTTTGTTTTAACTCGCTACACGTGGTGGTGTACTTTCTTTGTCGGGGGCTGATGCCTTTCTGATAGATCCAAATCGAGAGTGAAGAATGCAAAATGGACTAGAAATCTTGTTACAAACCGGAGAAACAATTGCGTTTTCTCCGGATGCGTGATGAAGCAACGCTCCCGTCTGCCAACGGTGTCATTAACAGCACCGAGCAACAAAATAACTTAAAAAAGTGAAATAGCTCGACTCGACACCGCATGCCGAGTCTTTTATTGCGTCGGAATTAAATCACCGACGCGAGAGCGTGATAATTAAAAACGATTTATAGTGTATCTTCCCGCGCCAGTTCTTATTCTTGAGATCTTCTTGATCCTAGAAAGGTATTGGACCATACATTTGACTGCCGTGTCACTCATTGAGAATCTTTTCGCCATATCGAGAGCTGCAAAGAAATGTTTGATTGACAATATTCTTAAGGAGAATACAGTCGAGACGACCTATTGTATTTTCTCGAAATACCTCGCGCACAAAGGCGACAAGAAGAGGACGAATTTTCGAGATCGACGAAAGAGAAACGATAAATCTTCACGACGGGTCTCGTGTTAGCGTGGTTGGCATTGTTCGTGGAACTTCACAACGCGAGTTCGGCTCGGTCGTTCTTTCTTTTTCTCTTTTTCAGGTTGTTGACTCGTTCGAGAGAGGACCTGCCGTTTCTTTCGGATGGTGAGAGAAGACCTGCGATTGATAAAAGTCGTATTGATCCGCTTTTACTAGGTGGGATCTGATTTGCAAACCGCACGGGTGTCCCTCGCGTTACACTTAACTATGATCGGCGCTGATGCTAACGATGCGACGTTGCGCCCGGTACATCAGCGCGGGGAGACTTACCTTCACCTAGACCTTTCTTTCGCCGTACGAGAGGGGATCCACGTATAAATGCTTTCTTCTTCGTAGCAATGGCATCAGAAACCACAATTTCACTCAACCACTCGTCTGCCATCCGATCGGGAGAAATAGTTACAAGGACAACCCCATTCCGGCAAGCATGCGGTCGATCGTGAGTATTCCGTTTACTATTGTCTATGAATCCGCAACTTTAAGTATATGCCTCACATATCTGCTTTTACGTGACACTTTTATGTGCATATTATATATGTTAAGACAAACAGAGAATACTATGAAAAGTTTAATGAAAATAACAGAGCTAGGTTCTTATTAAATTACAGTTCCTATCTTTAAAACTTTAGTACTTAATTAAAGCCACTCAATTTAAATTCAGAAAAGTTTTATAAAAAAATATTAGTTTCGCTTCAAATTTGATCTTACATATAATATTATATAAATTATGTTTTATGTTATTTAATTTGATTTATGTTTCGTATTATTATTTCATATCAAGTTTATAGTATATGCATGATTTATATTTTCTCTTGTTCAATCTACGCGTGTACAAGCTCGTGAATATTAGCTAAGTTATTATAAACTATGTCATACTTTTTATACATACACACGTGTGCGTGTATATATACAAATATATACATTCATTTGTAATATAAGAACAATCGCGGCATGTGATTTATTGTCAACCAATCGAACGGATGCGATCGAACAGATTGTTTATCTTGTTTGAATACAAACATTGATTTACAGCTCAGGTAAACCATCTAATTATAATTTTGCTATAACCAGCCAACAAGTTTGTATTACACTTTCACGCAAACCGATTAAGTTTACGAAAGTGGGACACCTTAGAAAGTGACGTGCAAAGAAGTGCAATAACGCTAATGTTTCGCGTAGGTGTTACTAGGGCTGGCGGCTCTCGTCTGCGGCGTTTGCTGTCGAGATCTTCGCATTGAGAATTTACCGCGTCAACTTCGATTGCAACTGAAGGACAAGCGCGGCCTCAACGATCACCCCGTGGTTTTCCCGTCGCATGGATCTTCTTACTCGGCTCCCATTCATCCAAGTCTTGGTGCTAGTTACAACCTGGGAGGATCATCCGGTGGCTTCTCTTTGGGGCACGCTGGACTCCATGGTTTGAGCGGTCCCGTCGGCCATGGAATCGGATATCCCATAGCTCCGTCCAATAGTCTTGGTTTAGGATCCGGCTACTTGTCCTCTGGATTGGGTCACGGTCCTTTGAATCTTCAAGGTGTTTCTTTAGGCGGACACTCGGCCCAAAGCACTCAGTTCGCGCCCAGTATCGCGAATATCGGTGGAGGAAGCAACGGACTTTTCACCCCATCCAAAAACGGCCCCGTCACCTTTGGACTTCACGGTGGCAGCGGCTCGACCGGCACTTCTGCTGCAAACGCATACTCCATGCCGGTATACGCTTCTGGAAACCATGGGCTGTCAGCTTACAGCAACGGAAACCTGCCGATTATGCTGGCACCGTCGCATGGCACTTCGTATAATCTGCCGTTGAGTTCCTCGGGTTCCTCAGCAGGATATAGTCTTCCCACGCAGCCCGTGTCTTCGAGTTCTTCGCACTCCGTAACGGGCGGCTTGATCATCGCCACTGGACCGCACAGTGTGTCCTCCAGCTATAACCTGCCGACTTCCGGGTCCTCTCACGGAGCTGCAGCCCTCAGTAGCTCTCAGAGCGTTCACGGAGCGCCGCCTTCGTATACTTTTCCAATAACTTCCGGATCTCACGGAGTCTCTGCGTTGGCTCCTGGCTCCACGTCTTCCGGCTACTCGACATCCGGTTCTCCGGGATCCTACAGCTCCGGCAGCTCTCACATCGGGCTCTCGAGCGGGTCATCCGTCAATTCCAATTATGAGCTGCCAGTCTCTTCAGGATCCTACTCAAGCTCCGGATCTGGCTCCAGCCCGTACACGAGTTACTTACCGGCTACTCACGGGGACAGTAGCGTCAGCTATTCATCCAGCAGCGGTTCCAGCTACTCTAGTCCCAGCGTCACTTACGCGTCGCCAAATTCTAATTACGCGAGCTCCAGTCCCGATTACTCGTCAGCCGGTTCCAGCTACTCGGCTCTCAGCTCGAGCTACGCGAGTCCCACGTCCAGCTATTCCAGTCCAGCGGTAACTTACGCCGGCACTTCCAACTATACGCCCGCATATGGGAGTTCTTCCGGTTCATATGGGTCAGCCGCGGAGTCGCAAGGAGCCTACTCCAGCGTGAATCCGAGGTATCTGGGATACACCGCAGCGAAAGCGTACGAAAGTTTGGATTCCGGGAACACAAAATACGACACGATCTCCTACTCGAGTCCCAATGGAAAATATTGAGCTACTTAATTTATATTTTATAGGACCTTTTGTATCTTCCACCCTAACGTTATCAGGTTCATTGACAACAATTTACGTTTATGGAATCAGCGTGTGTTTTAGATAATGACTAGACTAAGACGAATTAATCGCGACTTGACATTGTACATTCATTTAAATTTATGCTGTCGCGATCTTGCCATGAAATGTAGCGATGGCTCTATCTCTGATCACTTTACTGATCGCTCATTGAAGCGGATCAGTAGATCGCGTACAATATTGAAAACAAAAAATTATAACCAAATCTCCAGGAGAGAGGAAAGCTGCCAATATATATTTATATTTAAATCTTCTATTGTAAAACCATATAGCGATTTATACTGTAATAGTATTTAATGCAAAATGCGTTATCTATTTATATTATCCATAGGTATAGTGTGTCCCCTTTTCTGTTGTACATCCCGTACATCTCCGACGATTGTGATTTTTGTTGCATAGTTTTATACATTTTTTTTTTTTTTAATAAAAGAGTTGATTCCGACACATCAAAGTTGTAACACCCGTTATAAATTTTCGTGACTGATCGTTTATAAGTATCTAACAGCGTGTTCCAATACACGTTCCGACTCAGTAGATGAGTATCGATAATTAACAATGGAAAATTAATTGAGCATTAATCATATACAAATATTTAGTTCAATTTGCAAAGAATAATATCGTTAACTTACGTGTTTTATAATGCCTTATAATGTCTGCGTATGCATAAAAGACGTTTTGTTCTAATTGTTCGCATATTGACGAAAAATGAAGACGTATCCGGTGGCCAACGTGGCCGAAGAAATTGGTAAAGTGAAAGTGGAATCGATATGTCGAGTCGTATAATGAGACGCGTGAATCAGTATACAGTGAAGGAGGAGATATTTTCTGTATCTAACTGATTATCGCAATTAAAATTATAATTAGATACATATAGACTGGCGGTTTACTTTCGCATCCGCGTTTGCGAGTCCGTCCTGAATAATAAGTTCGACAGGCGTGACGGAAGGTATCGCACGTGTCAGAAAACATTTATTCGGACAGTTCTAATGCAAAAGTTGTTATCGATCAGGACAATAATTGATACGTTTAGAAACGACTCGACGTGACACGGTGCGACATTGCTTTTGCTTTTATTCGCTCGCGGCGTTACTGTGAAAGTTCTTGGCTGCGTGCAACCTGCGCGAAGCAGAGAGAGAGAGAAAGATACACACATAACGGTAATTTTATATAATAATAAAAGCAAGTTTGCCCCACGGGCAAAAACGGGATCACTTTTACTCCAAGGCCGGGGCAGTCGAGATGAGCAGATCCCTTTCTAAATTTTTATTTCATCTGGGAAAGTGGACGCTAACAATAACGATTGTCTGAGTTTATCAATTTGATTTATTGTCCACGATTTATCTCTATCCCTTCCTCCTTTGATATTATTATATAAGAACAATCTTATCTGGAAAACAATAATAACAATGTAAATGATAATAGTACATATAATAGTACATGTTTCTATCTTGTTTTGTACAATGAAAAAGAATATAATATAATAAAAGAATATAATTAGAAAATTTATTTCTGAGATTCAAAGTTCACAAAATAAACTTTATTTTACAGAAATAAACTATATATCTCACAAATAAATTTTCAAGTATTTTTTCTCTGTGTACGTTAACGAACATGAAATATTCGCCGTTCTTTCATTTTTAAATTAATAATTTACTGATTATTACTTTTCTACATTTTACCTACATTATTCCTATAAACATATAAATTAAAAATTTTACAAAGATAGATTCGAAATGTAAACTTATTCACAATACCTAACAAATGACAGCGCGCGTAATTAAATGGGACATTATTATGTCCTTATACCATACGTGAAAATACATTAGCATGTTCTAATTTAAATTGTAAATTGGGCGCAGTGTCGCATATTTGAGCGACCAGCTCACCGTGTATCGATTAATCCCTTCATTTGGTATGACGAAGCGATTACAGTCTCGTTAGTCGAGTTTTCGGTTGCCAAGCCGGAGATACGGAGACGCCCACGCAAGAAAGCGATTCCAGTAACCCGCCGATCGCGCGTTACTTCTCGTGCGCACCTGACCCAGTTTCGCGCATACCTGGACCCGAACGCACGCGAGCACGCATGCGATGTGCATGTGGCACGACACGAGTGAGCCACAGGCCGGGACATCTACGGTCCTTCTCGGATATACGATCTAGGTGATACTCCGCTGCGATGTGCGACAACCAGTCGGCTGACGTATCTCCCGTATAGAAATCGTTTCACTATTTTCCGACTGGTTTTGCGAGCGGCACGTTCAACCTCTTGCTCTCACGCCCGGCGCAGCGAGAGCGGGAAAAGTACGCTCTTACTCTTCGCGAAGGCGTTCCTTGCTGGACCCCGTCACGCACTTCTGAATTGATCCCGGCGCAAGTGTCCACCCTGTCCGACGACTGAGAGATTCACTTTCGTAGTGCACCGACCTGTAACACGAGTTTTTTTTCTCCTGAACTACAGGAGTAACGGTGAGGGTTCTGCAAGAGTCCCGACCAAGGCTATGAGTGCACCATATAGAGAGTCAGAGAAAATATTTTGAAGACAAACGATTAAATAAGGTTAAATCTTTTTAAGGATTTTAAAAGATTAGAATTCTTTAATCATGAGAATTGCTCGGTACATTGTACTTTTTGGATTTCTTGCCATTAAACGATCGAAGTCCAGAAAATTATTCCTGCTGCAAAAAGCGAATGGTTTACTATGAAATAACTATTATTATACTATATTATTATACTATAAGACGCCATTGATAAATTTGATTAGAATCATGTTATTTACCAAATGATGAATCGAAATTTGCATAGATATATATTTATATAAAATTTGCTAGGAACTTAAAAAATAATAAAGCTCCTTTAAAATCTCTATAAAGTATGAAAAATCAAAAATGAAAAATAAAATGTTTTAATCAATATTTAATAAGCTTATTCTAACATTTTAATGATATTAGAATTTGACGCAAAAATCTGACTGATTGAATCAATAATCATACCTTTTTTATCAATTATCTCTCTACGTACAATTATTTAGATAGTTACATATCAAAATTATCATTTTCGCATTTTAATTGAATAAATTCGACTTCCAATATCGTTAAAATACTACAATAGAATTGTAGATATATAGGAGTATTGATTCAAAATTATTTTGTACCTTTTCAGACTTGGCAGTTAATTTATTTAACTTTTTTATCTCGTCTTTTTTAATTAGTTACTAAAACTCTGTTTCTCTTGAGGTCGGCTCACAAAAATTCTTTTTTTAATGAATTAAAAATTTAAGTCTAGTTTTATATTTCTAGATATTACCAAGAAAGTAATGGTGTTACCCAATTTCCAGGTTACCCAATCTCCAGGTTGTCCAAGCACAAACTACCTTTGGAGAGAATTAAAATTGCAAAAAACCTAGAATTAAATAAAAAAATTCTATATGCTTCATAATAATCCTGATTATATTTTTGATAATATCCTGATTATTTAGATACAATAGACATTAGTAGAGCTTTCGTGATTGCTGATTCTAAACTCAAACATTTAAAATTAAAAATTATTGATCCAGCGTGTTAAGAAAGTGGCTTCCATTAAGCAAGCAAACATATATACACGGAAAAGAAATTCCAATTCGTATAACTGAATGGAGATCAAACGAAAAAATTGCTGACGAGAAATCTTTGTTATTGCGACAGAAAACGTTCGTCTGAACATTCAGCTTTGTTTAAACTCGTTTAAGATAACTCAGAACAATTTATTGAATAGAAATCTGCTATGGGAATATTTCTATTCCAACAATCCAGTCCTTTATCTGTGATTCTCAGATAACAGAACATTCAAAACAGAATATTTCACTACAGTAATGGAGTTGTTTATATAAGACAAAAGTGAGAACCTTTTTTCTTTAAAATCAGTTAAAAATACGAACTAATATTATACTTAAATACTTTGTATATGTTTCTATGCAGTAAAAAAGGATATTTGAAAGGAAGAAGGTAAAACAAAAACGAGAGTGATCATATGACAGTTCAAGGATTTAATTCAAATATCATCACGACGTAATCGTTCTAAACAATAACATTGATCATTATCAAAGGTGTGATGCACGTGGCAAGGATCGTGATCGAAGGTTGCGAAGCAGCGCGCAGGTGAAAGTAAAATAAATCGATGTTTTCAAAGGCACGAGTCGCTGCGAAAGGCGTTGTTCGAGCGAGATTGGAAAGATTCTTCGAGGATGCCGGAGGGCGCTCCACTTCCTGGATCGCTCGGTCTTGAACGACCATCACCTTGTCCTCCGGCTTAAACCAAGCCTGCCCGAACTTTCGCGAAAATCATGCGTTGCCAAACACACTCGTACACTTTCCTGCACGTCTTGCAGCAGCCAACAGGTAATTGCCGTCTAATCATCAACTAATCATCGTCAGGATCGCGCAAAGGATTCGCGATCGGAATTTTGTTCATTTCCTTGTAATATTCAATGGACGCGCGATCTTCCGATATCTGCTGCTTCAGGTGGTGGCAGAGTAGACTGTCGCGTTCTTCGTTTGACGGCGATCGAACGGCATTCTATACATTTTCACTACGCGTGCACCGGGGCGTACACTATCACTTCTAGACCTACATATAAGAGCAGAGAAATGTTAAACTAGTTTCCGCGATTTTTCCGGCGACTGGGTATAAAGGAGAAATTCAATGTCCGCCGATGTGTCATTAAAGGTGGAACCGTCGCGTCGGTCTGATCTGGGAAATTACTGGCGAGGAGTCGGATGAGATAGCGATCAAATTGTGGAAGGAAGCATAGCCTTGCGGTCGTCCGACGGCGATAAGTGAACAGTGGCAGAGATGGAGCGGCTGGTTGGTACCAAAATTAATAAATTCATTTGTTAATGGGAAAAAATTCCATTTTGTTGAAACTCACAGCGACAATTTAATTGGTATCTGAGTCCTTTTACGATGATCTAGAAATTCTTGCTACGAACAGACATATTAGGGAATCTTGTAACTTTTAGAAGCAGTTTTACCTAGCAAAAAAATGTTTCATTAAAAATTTATAAAATACGTATTTTTATACAAGGTGTCTGCAAAACTACGTGTGAAGGTAAAGCACGTCAACCTCAGCATAAGATCCTTAGCATTTTGCAAACAATCAAGTGAAGTTTCGAGATATTACAAAAAGAAGACTGTCGAACAAGAGTCCGCGACATTGTAGAACGAACTTTGTTAGCGCGAGATCGAAAATGGCTGACACGCGACTCACTCCCGATACATAGAAAAGTAATTGTCTCCAGCCGCTCGCATCCTTACTCCGTCTTGAGCTTTGTCAGATGATATATGCTAAGAGGTAGTTACGTTTCAGTCATTGTCGATGAAATCTTGCGTTTATAGAGTCCGTCCCATAACATCGCGCGTTTTGATTTGTTAATCTCTTTTCATTGAATCTCAAAATTTTACGTAGTTGTTTGCAAAATGCCACGAATCCTCGTGTTTAGGTTAAGATGCTCTACATTCACACGTTAGTTTGTATATCTTGCGTCAGACACTCTGTATGCATATTGCAGTATGATTAAAAATCTCATTTGTTTGATTTATTTTGATATGATAATCGTAAATATATAATCGGATAATATATTATAGAAAAAATTGATTATAAAGCCAAAGCTAAATAAAATCTGTATGTTTCTTTTATTTTTATTATTATTAATCTTTTCTTATTATTAGCTCTTTTTTTCTAATTGACATAAATTAACAAGAAGAAAAATGTATAAAGCCATATTTTATCTTGAACATGAGTGCAAACGTTTAATTGCAGATATTGCTCTTGCTGTCACCGGCAATTTTCGCCGAACGACTCAAGATCAATGATCCTAATAACGAGCCGTTTCTACCGATATACCCCACCTACCCTTACAACCCTAAGCTAATCAAACGAGGCGCCGAGCAGGAATTAGTATCACAATTAACGCCTGAGTCGTACGAAGCGCCGAAGGAAGATACCAGGGATTCCTACAGCACCAGCTATAACAACAATTACCAAAGAGACTCCTATTCCAATTATAATCCCTACGACAAAAATACCTCACCCTCGCCCATCTACAACCCGTACTACAACGAGAATCCATACGCCTACACAAGCTCACCATATGTGGCCTACAACCCGTATCCCACGCCGTACCATGCAATGAGTCCTGCGGCGTATCCCGCGCCCTCGTATCCGGACTATTACTACCAGCCACCCTATTACTATTCTCATTATTTCAATCACGCGCTATTTCCGCCGCCGCCACCGCCACCGCCGCCGCCATTGCCGCCCCCATTGCCGCCCTCAGTAAACGTCGATTATCGCGAGACATCGCAGGACTCCACCGAGACGGAGAACGACAAGCAGGACAAGGATAAGAAGAGCAAGAAGCCAAAGCAGGACGAAACGAATCGAGACGCGTCGGCGAGCCAGTTCGTTGACGGCGGAAACTACATATCCGGTAACTCGAGGGATCTCGACGGGCAGTCTAGCACGTACAAAGTAACCAGCCCATACAATCAAGTCGAGCAAGATGTTCAGGTGAAGAACCCATCGATTCCTTTACCCAAGACGACGTACAGAGTAATCAGCGTGGCAGGACAGCCAGTTGGTCCGGATTACCCTCTGCCCGCTCAGTACGTCAAGGCTCAGCAGATAGAGCATTTGATGAGCCAAACATTGGCCAAGCTCTTCGCACAGAATGAGCAACAGCAAGTGGGTCAGTCTTATGAGAGCAATAAAGACAGCCTGAGCGATGTCAACGACGGATCGAACGTCAATCAAGACACTTACAACCCAAGCACACAGTCGTACGTGGCCGTTCCTGGTGCGAAAACCAAGACCGGTGGTTACGTGATAAACTCTGATGGTGTCGCCAAAGTCAACGGGGAACAGGTGAATTCTCAGGTGACGTCGTCTCAAACTACCTCGAGCAGGAATGCGAAATACCCCAATAACTTGTATGTACGGAAGCCGGCAACGCACGCGATACTGGGTCAACCCCAAACAACCTTGGACCTCTCCCAAGTGACGTACGTTTCGCAACAAGGTAACCGCAACAAGCATCGCGAGCGAGTGAACAGTAGGCCGACAGATCACGAATCAACAGTAGCAGACGAATACGACTCTTACGACGTGACGCAGAGCTACACTTCCAGTCCGTTCGACAGCAAGCGAGAACAAAATTACGAAAATTATCAGAGGCAAACGGGTACATACCGCAGTAAGGATTTCATTGCCGTGCCTCAGACACCCCGAACATACAGCTACCAATATTCAGCTTACGAATCGGACCAGGCGACAACGGCGGAGCAACCACAGCAGGACAAAGTCAATTCGGATGATGGCGACTTCGGGGTTAAGCAGTACAATAAGGGTTGACAAGGGATTGATTCATGCGGCAAACGTATATACGACATAGTGATAGAAAGATGGTGCTCTCGTACATAAGATGTACATTGCAGTTGTTGTTGTTTTACATTTATAAAGTCATTATTAAATCGAAGCAGCTTCCTTCATTCTTGACGTTAAGGTGCTTCATATACTCTGTTGATATTTATTAGTATGTTAATTACTTTTCGTACACAAAAAATGTTCACCGTTTGTGAAACTCAATCACGATATCGTACACTGAGGAAGAAATGCTTGAAAACTTACTTATGCGGGGGATACAAGTTTATTTTACAGAAATAAATTTTATTATTCAGAAATAAATTTATACTTTATATTCCACAAATAAATTTTTAAATATATTTTTCTCAATGTACGTTGCGTAATTTCATTGTCTGTCGCTTTAAAGAACGAATGAAAAAAACAAAATACTGTCACATACTTCGTAAGCTTTTTACACTTTGAAAGACTCTTCTATATTTATATAAAAAATTAACATCGCGTTATTACTCGTACTTGGTGAGGGATAATCACGAGACAAAATAAATCACATTTCTACCTTCACTTTGTGAAATAAAAAAAAGAAGGCATACACATCGTACACTTTCCAATTCATTATAAATCGCGTTAAGTCACAGATCAAGAATGACCATCTAGTATTTGTAACTGCACGCCGACAGACGAGAACTCCCCTCCCTCCCCCCCAACATTCAGATGTTTCAAATGATTTACTTTCGCGTTAACAACTGGATGAAAGGTCTGCTCACAGGTGCACTGATTGCTACTTCATACGATTGTACCTGTATCATTTCTCCGATCAGGCTTAGTACTTTCTTTCGCGCGAACGTCATTTCTACGTCGTCGCGAGATCAGTAAGCGGACGGTCGATGTTAATTTTAAGATTCACGAGACGTGAAAAGAATAGACATGGCAGAGTGGCTGTTGTTTCTTCCACAAAAGTGGCGTTAGTATATCGGGATGCGTGACGAATCTCTTTTGTAGTTAGAAAGTCAGGATGTCGCACTGAATCTGACCCGGCATGATCCTCAACGCGGAGCGATCTATTTATAAAACTTACGTTCCACATACAGGCAGATTTTGTATTCGTTTCGTAGTCACTAGTAATAAACGATCGTTTATGTCCACTTTGACGTCTGCACTCCTTTCTCTTCAGTATGAGTACACTGCTAACCGGTTTCCCTTTTTTTAGTTCCGTATGTTACTTTCGTTCGATGAGCGATGAGATCTTGTTTCTTTTTTTTTTTCACTACCATGTCCCTTTCGACGTAAATTATACGCGCATCGCCACAAACTGCGAGGTACACGAGGATCAAAGAAATTAATATGCGGAAAATTATACGGAGGCTTCAAGAATGAAGCGTATCGCTAAGGTAATATGCTTTATGCGTTGGGTAATTAATACGTACGCGATATTAAACTTTCATTTCCTATTTTGGGTCGACAATGTTGCTGAAGTCGATGCACCTTGCTAAAGCTACGCCTTTTTAAGCTAAAATTTTTCTTCACAGGCGGCGAAATTCACGTTTGGCGTCTTTGAACATTCATACATAAAATATTACTAAGTTTCATATCACGACATGTACTTGAAACTACATATAAAAAAAGCGTAATCTTCTGCGAATTACATGCGGATGGAAAAATTCGTAGAAAGTTGACGTTTGGAAGAAACCGACGTAAATCACAGACGGTCCAAGAAGATCTACAGAGTGACAACTTTATCTCGAAAGTCTACAAGATTATCAGACAACGCGCTGCATTTCTCTGCCGACAACGAATCCGTCTCTACTAATTAATCTTGTGCGCTGCACACTCTAATTTATCTCGTTAATGCCACCACGCTCAGTTGGTCTTAACGCGCCGCTAATTAATCGTTTAGATTTGGTAGTATCTTTTGCCTTAGCGCGAACATGGAATCGCCCGAGTCACGGTCATGGCTCCAGAGAGAGGAAAAGATCCGGATCGTGGCAATGTCCGGTTGATCGTTCGGACGAGGCGTGTCGGCGTGATGGAAAGAGGAAATGAGGCACCGCGATCCGTCCATTCGAATCAGGTCCGGCGCACCGCAAGGCGATAGGTAAGATAAGAATGTTGACCTGTCCCTTTTTGGTTTTCATCAAACTTGCCATATTCGTGGAGCAACGCAGAAACTATGGGAACTGCGATAGAAGAAAGAAAACAAGAGCGAAAATTTTTCCTCTAAAAAGAGATATTTTAGAATAATTTTTTTTATTTAAAGGAAATTTCAATCTAATTAATTGTTAATCCGTATTAATAGTGTGATAAAATTATATTGATTATACTAGATTTTACTGATTATATTAGATTTTATTATATTAGATTATAGCTGGATTATATTAGATTTTACTGTAAACTGAGATACACTAAAAAAACGATTTCTTCGGATTTACACTGAGAAAAAGTATTTAAAAATTTATTTAAGTTTATTTCTATGAATAAACTTCATATGCCCCACAAATAAATTTTCAAGTATTTTTTCTCAGTAACAAAAGACAATGTACAAATTTTTCAAACATTTGTACTCAATGTAACAAAAGTGACGTTTGTGATATTGCGTGGAATTTATCTTAAAATCTTCTACAATATTATGTAAAAAAGTGAATGGTGCTATTTAAAAAATCCAACGTAACCATGATTTATTTAGAAAAAAATATTTTTTTACCTTTTGTTACTACAAATCATAGCCTGCCTGAAGCAGTTGAAAATTCACCTTGCAACCTTTTCATTAAACCTTTGTACATTGAGTACAAATGTTTGAAAAATTTTTGTGGAAAATATGAAGTTTATTTTTGTGAATATATTTCATGATCCACATTTTATTTGAGAAATATAAAATTTATTCAATTATATACTGCGTGTTCAACGTAACGATCTGTACGACTTTTTAATTTACGATGGTTTAATGAAAAGGTTGCAAGGTGAATTTTCAACTGCTTCGGGCAGGCTATGATTTGTAGTAACAAAAGGTAAACAAATATTTTTTTCTAAATAAATCATGGTTACGTTGGATTTTTTAAATAGCATCATTCACTTTTTTACATAATATTGTAGAGGACTTTAAGATAAATTCCACACAATATTACAAACGTCACTTTTGTTAATATTTAATATTAAATATACAGCATTATTTTAAATAGCAGTACTTATAAGCAAAATATGAATCTCACTACTTATATCTTCAGGATATTTTTAGAAATATATAAGTACACGTATCTTAAAATACACAATATCTACTTTTTTATAATATTATATAGAAAAGTGTATGGTGTCATTTAAAAAATTCACAATGATTTTGATTTCTTATGAAAAAAAAATTTCTTATAAAAAAATTTTACCTTTAAAAGATAAAATTTATGTTATTGTAACTTGCATGAAGCAGTTGAAAATTCATCTTACAACATTTTCTTTAAACCATCGAAGTGTCTAAAACATCCTGTATATATATATATACATACATATATATATACATACATATATATATATATATTCGTCGAATATATAAATTAATAAATATAATTTATTTATAGAAATAAATTATATTATCTAACAGAAGTAAACTTATTCTACAAATATTCCATAAATTCTCAAACATTCTTCTCTCAGTGTATCTTTTACTCAGTATGGTATTTATATTTATTTAATTTGGATTCGTTAGATTCAAACAACATAATTAATATCAAGTATTATCTGTTTCATTGGATTAAACCATGTTGTTTAGTGGAAAGTAACTGTTATTTAAAGAAAGGAAAATTTTATTTTCAAATAATATATTATTTACTTACGTTTAAACTTTTATTTTATTGAATTACATTTACTATTTGATTTAATTCAATTATTGACTGAAAAGAAATTATCGTTTTAAACGTTTCGTCTCTCACTCTAATCTATTATTTGAACTAACTAATATGACATTCATCTAAAAATCCAAGACAAACCATTGATGATGTCACTGATTTCTCTATATATGTACTTTGTAATTTTCTTAGTTTAATTTATGAAAAATGTAGAGCAAAAATTCTAATTTTATTATTATGATTTTTATTTTGAACAATTATATATTAATTTAGTTTTACTATTATATAAAAATTATTATTGTTTAGCATGTTTATTTACTTTAAATATAATGTATATATGTATAATATATATAAGTATTTCTGTACTTTCTGTCCGCTAATGTATATATATAATTTTTTTTAATATCCTTTACATATCGATCGTTGTTGCTTTGTTTTGGACGATAACCAGTAAATATGATATGAAGAAGCTTCTCGAACACAATATGAGGATGCATTATAAGTATAATGCTACTAACATAGCGCCAGAACTAGTTGGCATCATTAATTCCTACGCAATCGTTAATCAACCCAAATCGTAGCCAATAAAAAGGATAGATGCCGCATCACGGGATAATGGAATATTTTGATGGAAGATCACGGAGAATGAAGATGCACACGATGAAATAATTAAAAGGCAAACTACCAGCAATGCAAAAAAGAAATATTAAGTTTTTGAAAGTTATTTAAATAAAATTATTGATTTTTTTTTAAATAAAATAAGAGAATTACGTAAAACTATTTTCTTCCACGAATCAAATAATAAATGATTTGTGTCGAAAAATAAAATTACTTGAAAAGCCAAACAATGGCAGGAATTATTGAATCAAAAGTGAATTTATTCGGACTATTTCGACAGACAAATTTCTTTCAATTGTTAAATATATTAAATCCAAAGAACTGTTTGTTGTACATTTCAAAAGGAGGTCCAAGAAAAAAAAACGAAAAGATGTTTGTGTACATAAATTCGGATATATATATATAAAGTTGGGGAATCTCTTTTATAACAGACGGTTTTCAATTGCGCATAAACATGTGCAACTTTTCATACGCCATATTTTATCGGTTTATGCGAGGTACGATAGGTCTTATCGACGATCCTGACGCGAATGTACATCACGGCGGGTGAGTGAGAGCGCCGTGGCGCGCCGTTTTACTTTATTTTGCGCATTCCCCGTGTGCGCGAACATGCCGATGGTCTAAAATAAAATTGGATGGACCAAGCCTGTTACTTTCTCGCGGCGACTCGATCCCGATCGCCAACATACACGGTGACCCGAAAGCTCGACTCGTGTTACTCCTCGCTGAAAGCGCGCCAATGTAAATTCCGGATAACGAGGTTGCAGCTTTTGGCGAAGGAGGTAGAAAGTGCTGTGCATACGCGTACGCACATGGACATTTGTTACTGCGACTGAAACATTATTTTCTCTTTATGTTTATGAGCCGTCACGCGTCGAGCGAGCGGACAAACGTTATCTGCCTCCCAGAGCTAGGGGATGTTTCATTAAAACAAATGTTGTAATACTGGAATTAATTCATTGTGGAAAATACGCGAGGGAGCTGGTTTTTACTTGGCATTTCACTGCAATTACGCGCCGCTTGCCCTATTTCTTTGAGAGGCACTACCCGCCGAGCAAGCTACATGTGCGATGCAACATTTATTTTTGTGGCATTTTTTTGACGTTCTATATTTTATATTACCTTCTCT